ACTAGCACAATCAAGCAAACGAATGAAAAACAAAAACGCCAGAATTAATTACAAACGCTGTGAGAAAAAGGCAGCCAGGGTTTTGTCGCCCTCGTCTAGTCCTGGTCGACCTCCTCCTCCTCCTCTTTTTCCTCCTCCTCCTCCTCCTCCTCCTCCTCCTCCTCCTCAATCCACATCCTCCTCCCCCTCTCCCTCCTACTCCTCCCCCTCCTCCTCCTCCTCCTCCTCCTCCCAATCATACAGTTCCTCCTCTTCCTCCTCCTTCACTTCCCCATTCTACTCTTCCTACGCTTCCTCCCCCTGCGACAAGGCAGCCTGTCTGCCACATCACTCTACAGCCCTAACCTCTCTGAGCTTCGCCGAGACCGCCAGGATGATGCACGGCCCCTGGACGAAAAAGTAGGACACCTTCATCGCGTCACAGTTCGGCGCGAGGCCCGCCGCACTCGCGAGCTCAGCCCGCCGCCGCCTCGCGGAGGGCAGCGCCGCAGACCGCCCGGTCTCCTCCGAGGCATGTGCGCAGTTGCCGCCCCCCCCCCCTCCCCTGGAGGCGTCGTCCTGCGGAAGCTGCGCGTAGCTGGGCAGCTGGGCGCTCGAGCTGCCGTACAGGTCCACCTTCCCAGGGGAAGGCCGGGGTGAAATTGGCGGCGCGCACACATGGGTAGGGGGAGGAGGGAAGGCTTCTTAAAAAGAGGCTGCTTCTTAGAAGGCGCCGGCCTTACGTACGTCTATAGATAACGCCCGCGCCTTCAAAGAAGCAGGGGCGCTTCGAAGAAGCCTTCCCTAGTCCCCCTAACCCCCCTCCGCGGGTGGCCGATTACAGTCATGGCACTGCCAGAAGGAACACCAAACAAGGAACGAAGGGGCTTTCGTGGCCTCGGTGGGCGGCGTAGACCTAGGCATATGGAACGGCCCGAAAACCCGAGCCCCTCTTGAGCCCAAAGTCGTCCGTCGGTCAGCGCTTTGACTGTCTGGAGGGCCTGCTTTACAGGGACTAACTACCTACCAGACCACCCCAACCCAACCCGAAGACCCGAATTTCGGGTTGGGGGGGGTACGGGCTCCATATGTGTTTTTTCGACGTTCCCCGACCCCCCCCCACTGGAAATGGAGGGCAAATTGAGGCCTTCGGGTTGGGTTGGGGTGGTTTGGTGGGTGGTGAGGGACATGTTTGGTCGGCGACGCCTTGGATCCAGGTGGAGGCCAGGAGAACGGAGAACTGCAGGGGCGCTGCGGACCGAACCGGGCAGAAAGACCGCAAGGAAGGCAGGGAGGGAGGGGGGAGAGGGCCGCGGACGGCCGGAGCGCCCTCAGAGCGAGAAGCCCTGTGGGTTTTTCTGCAGGCAGGCCTCGTTTAGCGAAAAACTGTCCATATAGGGCAGCCTTTCGAGGTCCACGCGGATCTCCCGGATCGGCGCTGGCAGCGCCATCAGGGGCACTGATCCCAAAACCGCGCGAGGCTGCGAAAGTGTATGTCGCGTCGCTGTTTCGCACTCGGTGTTTAGGGGGGGTAAGCTCAGGGGGGGGGGGCAAGGGGAGGAAAACTTCGGGTTCGACGGTTCGACGTTCGAGGTTTTCGGATGGTTTCGTCAATTCTCGGCGGTTTCTCAAGCCTCGGGGTGCCTTCACCCTGCTGCGACTCGCCGAGAGCGTTCTGGGGGGGGCCGGGATCGTCCCTGGCGGCCGCCAGAGAGCCGAGTCATGGCGCGAAGACCACATCCCTGGGGCCCCTGGGGTGACACGACCAGCCCAGAGAGGAAGGCAGACTGGGCGGCGGGCCTTCTCAGGAGGCTCAGAAGGCCTCCGGTCTTCAAAAGAAGCTTTCTAAGCCTTCTCCGAAGCCAAACAGGGCTTCTCAGAAGGCCGAAGGGGGGCCTCTGAGAGGCCCCCAGAGGGGGGGCGCTACAGTCAACCCGCATGATAAGGATGCGCGGCAAGGTCCTTTGGTCCTTTCCAGGCCTCCTGAGCAGCATCCCGCTCGCCCCCACAATATTTCCTTAGGCTAACTCAGCCTGTCGAGGAAAATGCGCCTACGCTTGGCTGTGGCGCTCCTCCCGACGGCTTCACTCACGCGCACAGAATCGTACATGCTGGGGCTCGCAAGCACAGTGCTAAACTCATGAAGAAAAGAGCACAAGTCTGCAGCAGCCGTCATCTCAGCAGTCGTTGTTGTCGCTTTCGGGTCCAAAAGAACCGATCTCGCTCGCCATCGATGGGGCCCGCTGGTGCCGGTCACGAACTCCACCACACATGCCGCCCCCACGCCTTCAGATCGTTTCCCTCCATGAAAAGATCCCACCAATCTCGCGCTCGGGTCGAGGAAGGTATCCTGGGGGAGCAAATGATTTTCTCCGAAGGCTTCTAGTTCATGAATGGCCCGGGTGGCCATGGAATCCGCCGCTTCGTAAACTCCCGGTACACATGTCGTGCGAAATCCCCTCCTTCCTCCACCGGTTTTACTCCATTACACTATGCAGAATAAAGAAGTCCCTGGGCCCGTCGAAGAGGTCCTAATAATCAGCTGTTCTTAAACTGCCAAGTGCCATTGAGCCAATGCACCAGAGTGTCGCTGTCGCCTCTGATTTCCAGTTTCAGAGAGAAAGGGTCACGAGGCCGCTCTCGAAGATCGGCTGGTGGCTGTACTGCGCGCGCACGCTAATGCAATCGTTGTTGTTCCCGTGCCACCCTCCCCCGAGGCCGTGCGCGCAAAAGACGACGACGAGATAAACCGGCTTTTTCCATAACCTTCGACACGAACATCTCTTCCATCCTGCACCATTCTCCACCATCGGCAACGTGTGTTCTCCAGTCCCGGCCAATTGCGGCGATCCAGAAATCTTCCTATTGTGCGACTTTCTCCCACCCCGGGCGGTGCTGCCATGGATGTTCGCTCCGAGCGACTTCCGAATACTTCTTCCCCTCCACCCGTGCCCTCTTGTGCCGGTGTTGCATCATGACGTCTTTGTAACCCTGCCACTGCGCTTCGGTGAGGTGCGTGTACACATCTCTCGGGAAAGTGCTCGGAGATGAATGGCCGGACGCCCTCTGCGACGAGGAGGACGCAGCGACCCCTGCTGGACTCTCCGGGCCCAGAACAACACGAGCGAAGCGATGCGGTAATCGAAGGATACGCTCGATGACCAGGGAATGCCTTTGTTGAACATACACTTTCTTCATCTGCCGAGTGGTGGACGACATGTAATCCGCCATGGTCTCCCCCTCCTTCCTTCTCCTCGTCCTCCCTATGCGTCCCAAACATCCCCCTTGCACTTTAGATATGTATACTAACATGCCGTAGGTCATGGCCCACCCTTCACACCCGTACGTTAGAATAGGGACCACATACTCGGCGTAGCGCTTCAGTCTTTCCACCAACGGTGAAATCTTCTTGCGCGAAAGCGGCTCCCCAAAAAAAGCACTCCTCGCTCTCTCCACTCTCCAATAAATGTCCTCCCACGCCCCTCCCTTCTCGTCGATGATCGTGCCTAGTTGTAGTGATGATGAACTGCGCCCCACCTCCAAGTCCCGGAATAGCGTGGGCTCGTGAACGTTTTCCGGGGCACGTGAACGTTTTCCGAACGAAGCTGCCCAGGTAAGGATGCAAGGGCAGCCTCGGAAGATTGCCCATCCTTCCTCTGCGGGCTGACTGTACACGAAAGAGCCAAGCCGACGAGCTCTTTACTCGAGTCGGACGAATCGGGGGGATAGCCCAGGGTCAGCGACTCAGCTCGGGGATCTTCTGACCCGGGTCAATCCAGACCCGGGTCAGTCAAGCCTTGCAGAATCCTGCAAGTTCCTGCAAGACCCTGCACCCAAACCCGGGTCAATGCGAAGGATCCTGCAGGATCCTGCAGGATCCTGCACCCAAGCCCGGGTCAATGCGACCCTGGCCCTGCAGGATCCTGCAAGGTCGGGGCGCTCTGGCTGACCCCCGTTTGCACTGACCCCCGTCTCGAGGCTCCCGATCAGCTCACGCAGCTGATCTCCCGGCACCTCGGAGCGCCAGAGGCGCGGCCCGGCGGCAGGGCCGAGGCCAGCTGCATGCAGCAGATGTCGTACCCCGGGGAGTGCCAGATCTGCGGCATGCCGCTGGCGTCGGCCCCCCCTTCACCCCCTCGACCGCCACGGGAAAGGGGGGAGGGGAGGATAGAGAAAGGGGAAAGGGGGTAGGGGGGGGGGGCGGATGGAGAACGGGGAAAGGGGGGGCGCCCGTTCCCCTTTCTCTAATTCTCCCCGCCTCTCCGTCCGATCCCGCTCGTCCCGGGGGTGGCCCCGGGGGGCCCGGGCAGGGGCAGCGCGGGAGATCGGGCGACGAGACCCGCCCACGTCCGCCGACTCTGGCCAGGCCCATCCTGGGCCCAGGAGCGGCGTATGCGCCCCCCCTGGCTGGGCCAGGGAGGCATGCACAACGATCCTGGCCCAGCATGGGCCTGTGGCTACACTCGAGAAGTGACCTCAGACAAGAACGCCCTGTCGGAGAGGCGTGAACAGGCTTGGGAGGATCATGATGCGCGGAAGATCGTGGGCGCCTGAACCAGCCCTGAACAACCACTGCTGACAGCACCGAAGTGCCGTCCCCTGCAGCCGAGGACACCGAGGAACAAACATCTCGACCGACACGGTGCCAGGCACTGTTAGGTGCTCGTTCTGGGGACCCTGCCACTCGCTCCACTCATGCGTCGATACTGCGTCGAACATCCGTCGACTTGACTGGCACTTGAGTCGAACTTGAGGCGAGCTTGAGCCGAGCTCGAGTAAAACCAGAATCGAAATCGAGTCGAACCAAAGTCGAAAAGATCTGGCAGGTGGGCCCGAGGATGGCTTTTAGAATGAACACTTGAGCACCGTGGTCCGATCGAGCGGTCTCCTGGACTTTCTCCCATTGCCGCTTGAGGCTGGCCACTGTTTCCTGAAGGTCTGCCGTTTCGTGCTCGCGGGCGGGCCTTGATGTCGTTCGCGAGCTTCTGCGTGATCTGCAACACACGGAACATGTCCTTCGCCTGGCGCGCAGGGGGGGACGCGGGTGCAGCAGGGGGGTCAAGCAGGGTCCCAAATGGTTCCCCTTCCCCTCGTTCCTCCCTCCTCTATTGGCTGTCTTTCTTGTCCTGAATGCTCTCCTGGCTATTCATCGTTCTGTTTTTTCATTGTTTGACACTTCCCGTTCATCGAACAGGCCTGCAGACCGCTGCGCGGAACGTGCAGCGTGCGAAGTGCTCCTACGGGCCGGGATAAGGTGCCTTTCGCCGATCCATCGGCGATGTATCGCCGGTTTTAGGTCGATAGTTCCACCCTGAGCCAGTCCCCCGAAAGCTACCTCTCAATATATCGAGCTTTTGGAGTGGCCCCAACTGAGCAAACGGGGTTGTCGAACTGCATCGTAACCAGTGCGATTGGCACCACTTGTCGGGGTGCTTGGTTGCCTGTTGCACGAGCCCGCTGCTCGCCCTCTCCAGGCAGGGTAAGTAATGGCGTGAGCTGCAGAACAACTTTGCTCATCTGCCGTTCAAGCCCCGTGTCGTCGATGAATGGGCCTGTACCCCCCAACGCTGCTGTTGAGCAAATCTGGTAGGTCGGTGCACGCCCTGTCCCGGCTGCTAGAGGAAAGTCACGACAAGAGTTATGCGAGACGGACGTTGCCGGCCGCGGCAGACAGAGAGCGAGGAAGAGACCAGAGAGCAAGAATAATCAAGCCAAAGGCGGGAGTACGGGGCGGCAGGAGGCGAGAGAGGAGGGCGGATGAAGACGGGGAAGAGGAAATGAGGAGCGGGATCCTCGGGGAGGAATGATAAGAATAACACTTAGGAAAACGAAGGGAGGAAAAGGAAGAGGAGGAAGAGGAAGAAGAGGAGGCGGAACAAGTGAGCCGAGTGCTCCCGCCCCCGCCTGGGGCGGCGGAGAGCGAGGGCTCGTGGCCGATGTCCTTTGGTTGGCACCACGGGGCACTTTTTTGCCGCAGCGAAGTGCCAAGACATCCGACGACGAGACTCGTGGAAAGCGCGGCCCCAGAGGTCCAGACTCTGGGGGCAATTTTTCGTCCGAGGGCCCATCTCTTCTGGCCCCGAGGCCCGATGACGGAGGAAAAGCGCCCGGACTGAACACATCACATCGTCGGAATTCTGGGCGGGCGGGCCACGAGGCACTCGCCGGAACGCGGAGACCTGCAGCACCGCAGAGCACGCGAGCGCACCGCCACCTTGCACTCCGACCCCGGGCGGGCGCCTGCGTGCCCTGCGACGGGTGGGGGGGGGCGCAGCACGAGCGAAGCCCCACTGCAAGGACAGTACCAGCCCGAGTCCTAAACGTCCGCCGGCGTTTCTTCTTCAATCCCCGGCCCCAGAAGTCTAGGAATGCTCAAAACGCCCTTGGCTGGCCCAGGGTGCCCGCAGCTCACTTTGCACATTGGAGCCCCTGGAACCCTCTGAGGTTCGTGAAGGGGGCTCCATGAACCGCAGGGGCCTCCGTGGGAATCCTGGAGGGATCTTGGGCCAGGGATACTTCTGGCAACGCCCGAATATTGTCACCGGCATCATCGCTCGCCACATCACTGTCACGATCACCAAACAGTGCGAAAGCCGTCCCGCTTGCTGGGAACTGTGGTGGTCATTCAGTCTGGCATGGACCCACGATCACTCCGCCCCGCCATCTTGCCGCGATCCTTTGACTGGGCGTCGTTTCGCGCCCCAGATCCGTTTGCCGGAGGACGGCGCCCCATGGGGCCGAGACCGACGAGGAGCTGCCCTCAGAAAAAATGACCCAACGATACACGCAAATCCGCCGACCCCGTCGGCGTGTGTGAGGGGCTTGTCTGTTCCAGCCGTCGATTTCGCCAGCCGTCCTCTCCGTCCTCCCCCTTTCCATGCACCCTCCTCCTCAAACTTGTCCGCGAACGAATCGCCTAGCAATGTCGCAATCGAGTCGCAGGAGAACCCTCTCCGTTCGATCCCTCTCCCGCCAGGGGGGGGGGGGTCGCATGGGGCGTCCGAGGGGGGGGTCTGGGGGAGGGGGGTTTTCGGGGGAACCCCATGGATGGCCCCAGGGGGGTCTGGGGGGGGCGGATGAGCACCTGCCCCTCGGGGTCCCGGGGCCGCAGAAGATACAGCCAGGCCAAGAGCCAAAGCGCCCCAGAAGGCCTCCGAGACGGTCCAAAAACAAAGGAGAAGCCAAGCAGCGATGTAAAGGTATACTAGCCGGCCGCTCTGCGGTTGATCGGGAGTTTCTGTATATAGAAGAAGGTGCGTGCGCTTGTTGGCGAGGGTGATGAGGTTCCTCCTCCTCCTCCTCCTCCTCCTCCTCCTCCTCCTCCTCCTCCATCCTTCTCTTGCCTCCGTCTGTCCTCCTCCACCCCGCAGCTCCATCATCTTCCTCCTCCTCCTCCTCCTCCTCCTCCTCCTCCTCCTCCTCCTCCTCCTCCTCATTCCTCCTCTGGGCACCTCCCCCGGGGCGCGGATCCACCGGATCTGTCCGGATCTGTCCGGAAACGGTGCCGGGGGCCGCTCTGGGCTCCTCTGGGCAACTTCCCCGGGGCTGGTTTTGTGAGGATGTCTCAAGCGAGGCGCCTGTTTGGGATTCGTCGGCGGACCCGCCGGATCTGCCCAGATCTGTCCGGAAACGGTGCCGGAGGCCGCTCTGGGCTCCTCTGGGCACCTCCCCCGGGGCCGGTTTTGTGAGGATGTCTCAAGCGAGGGCGCCGGTTTGGGATTCGTCACCGGATCCACCGGATCTGTCCGGAAACGGTGCCGGAGGCCGCTCTGGGCTCCTCTGGGCACCTCCCCCGGGGCCGGTTTTGTGAGGATGTCTCACGCGAGGGCGCCGGTTTGGGATTCGTCACCGGATCCAGCGGATCCAGCGGATCCACCGGATCTGTCCGGAAACGGTGCCGGAGGCCGCTCTGGACTCGTGCTCTTCGCGCCGGGGGTGAGGATGACGTGAGTTCCACAGAAACTCCCTCAAATCATATAGGTTCCTTTACGAAGGTGGAATCAATGTGATTTGTCATATCCTGATTTCGACACCTTGGGCCCAAAATGGTCGCGGGTGCGCGCGCTCTGGCTCGCAAATTAGCTCAGCAGCCCCCTTTCGCGGTCGAGAGGGGAGGAAAACGAAACGCATCGCGATGATTGTGCGAAGGGCGTGGCACCATACAAGCGCATGTAACACATGTATTCGTCATGCGCCCATCGACGTAAGAGGCGATCGAACTTACTTCGCCGAGAGCTGCCGCTGGTACACCCGTAGCCGCTTCTACACCTTAAGTGGTGTAGTTTACTAGGGCTGGCAACAGCTTGTTGCCACGCGCATTCAAACTCTACGACGCAAGCTGCATTTGCCAGGGGCGCGCTCAGGACAAGCGATCGCCGATCGGCGACTCATCCTAGGCAGGCAAAGTGCGCGCGCGCGCTGGGCGACGCAAAGGTGTGGGCGGTCAGAGCCTGCGGCCGTGCGCCCGGCGCCAGGCTGAGTCGCTCGCCGCCGGGCAACAGAGAAGAGGCGCACGCGCCCGCTGCTGGGCGCCTGCTGCCAGGCAGCGGACCCAGCTGCGCCCGCAGCAGGGAGCCCCCGCGGCCAATCCGAGCGAGGCCCGCAGCCCCGCGGCGCGAGGGTGGGCAGGCTCGGCGTCGCGTGCGCCCTGTGCAAATACACTTTGCGAAATGCCTAAGAAATCATGGGTTAAGAAACTCAGAGTCTCAGAATTTGAATAAAAACGCAGAATTTCTATTGAAATCTTCGGATTTACATTGAAACATTAAGAATAATCGAGACTCTGGCCGAAAACTTGAGTTTTCTTAAGCATCGCCTAAGGTGTACTACGCGGTGTGGCGCAGGTTTCTTCACATCGCGCTTGGGCGGCTGGTGCCCTGACACCACCTGCAACAACAGATCGCGGTCAATGCTGCCTGCCTCACGTCCGCGTGCAGTCGCGCCGCGCGCGTCGCGCCACTGCCCTCTCCACGATCTGTCTTCCCCCCCCCCACACTTCAGTGGTGGGCTTGTTCAAAATGAAGTCGTGTTCCTGCTAAGTGGGCTTCTGTTCTGCTAAGTGGGCTCCAGATGTGCTTGATCCAGTTGTCAGCTCCGCCTCCTGCTGCTGGTCTTGTTTTTCCTCCTCGTCGTCCTCCTCCTTCTCCTCCTCCTCCTCCTCCACTTCCTCCTCCTGTCCTCCTCCTCCCCTTCCTTCCTCTTTTCACGTCCTACTACCACCTCGTCCTCTCCCTCCTCTTCCTCCTTGCCTCCTCCCCCTCTCCCTCCTCCTGCTCCTCCTCCTCCTTCGCCTCCTCCTCCTCCTCCTCCTCTCCCCCTCCTCCTCCTCTCCTCCTCCTCCTCCGTCCTCCTTCCTCCTTCCTCTCTCCTCCTCCTCCCTCCCTCTCCTCCTCCCCTCCTCCCCCTCCTCCTCCTCCTCCTCCTCCTCCTCCTCCTCCTCCTCCTCCTCCTCCTCCTCCTCCTCCTCCTCCCCCTCCTCCCCCTCCTCTGCCTCGTCGCCCCTCGGCGGCCTTCAGCGGCCGCCGGTGGCTTTCGGCAGCCCCTGGCGGCCTTCGGCGGCCCTCGGCGGCTTTCGGCGGCCCTCGTCGTGTTCCTGCTATGTTCGCTTCCGATGTGCTGGATCCTGTTGCCAGCCGCGCCTCCTGCTACTGGTGTTGCACTGTGGTTCATGCCAAGTTGCATGGAGAGACCTGGAAAACAACTCCACATCCTCCTCATCGCGCTCCTTCTCTCCCTCTCTCTCTCTCTCTTTATCCCGCATCCCCCACAGTGGAAGCCTCTGTCTCATGCCCATCTGCACTTGCATTTTGCATATGCATTGCACTTGCATTGGCATTGCATGCAATTGCATTGCATTGCATTGCATTGCATTGCATTGCATGGCATTACAACGCATGGGATTGCATTTCTGTTGCGTCACTTCCAATTGCGCTGCGCTGCGTTGCGTTGAGAGTTCCTCGCAACTCTGGGCTCCGAGCTGCCAGGGGCAAGGTGGCCTGGCCCATTTCGCCTGACTCATCCT